GGTGGTGTCTTTATAGCCACACTGTTTGGTTTGGGTTTGGCTATGGTTACTTTGGCTTTGGAGGTGTTTTACTATAAGAAAAAATTACCCAAAACTTCTGTTAAGGGTTCAGTGACACAAGTTAAACCTTTGGATGCGTCTCTAAAGGCATCCGAAGTTTGGCATACGGAGAAGAAAAATCCCACGCCACCTCCGTCATTTGAAACGGCTACATTTAGGGGTCGCAAAATACCCGATAGCATTACAATGGGTTCAGAATTTAAACCAAGACGTTTGGGTTTGTCTACACGTCGTCGTTTGGATAGTACTGATACCTTAAAGGATAGCAGTGAATTACCGGCTTATGTGGAATAGATGGAAATTCAATTAAATTTATTACTTTTTACTGCACTTTTGATTATTATGAAATAAAATTTTATGTAGTTGTTTCAATAATTTAATGGATTTCAATGTGATATTCAGAATATAGTTTTCAACATACTTACGGACATCGTTAAATGGTCTGGCCGTTCCGGAAAATATTTCGCATCTTAAATTGCATACCGATATAATTATTAATTCATGCTTTTTTAAGATTAAGGGATTTTCAGAAGTGAACTTCATATAGGAACTGTAAACTAAACATTTTCGAGTATACTTATTTAAGATTAAGTGATTTTGAGAAATGGACTTTATGGAAGCTATGACCAATTATATGTCGATCCGGAAAAACTTTCGCTGAATAGTGGGAGCTATGGTTAATTATAAGCCGATTCAGGTTTTAGTTAGTAATACGATATCTATTGATATATATTAGATTTATGTTTAGTAATTCCGATATTCGAATGTAACTCCATTTTGCAGGAGTTATATGTATTTCCCATTTAAATCATTTTCAACCATGTTAACTCCTGTAAAACAAAAAAGATCTGTGTTTGTGGCAAAACTAATCAACAATGATAAAAAAAAAACCGATTTTGCTGATTTTAAGTAAGAAATTTCAAGAAAGCATGTCTGATACAATTATTAAAGATTTAAATTTTGTAGAAAAATTTCAGAAAACTAATTTCAAAATACATATGGACATACAGAGGGACTGACCGGTATGGATCTTCACTCAGGAACGACCCGAGTCGTTCAATGATTGTCAAACCCAGCGACAGCTGTATCAATCAAAAGTTTTTTTTTCCCAGGAAAGAACTATCGGCCACAGTTGAATTGTTACAACAACAACAACCGACATGGTACGGACTCGGAATATATAGTCTTTATAGGATCGGAAAATTTTATTTTAGAAGTTACAAATATAAAACCGTAGTTTTGATGAGAATCAGTAAATTGCTGAAATTGTAGATATTAAGGTTCTATAGTTGGAACGAAAAGTCGACTTTTCGACTTTTTGCATTTAGTTAAAAGTCGACTTTTCGACTTTTTCCATTTTATGAAAAGTCGAAAAATCGACCTTTTTCATTTATTTAAAAGTCGACTTTTAGACTTTTCGACTTTTAGTATTTTATAAATGGTCGACTTTTCGACTTTTCCGACTTTTCGACTTTTACCGACTTTTCGACTTTTTCCGACTTTTCGACTTTTTTCGACTTTTCGACTTTTTTCGACTTTTCGGCTTTTTCCGACTTTTGATTTTTTACGACTTTTTGACTATTTTCGATTTATTTCGACTTTTTTTCGACTATTTTTTACTTTTTTCGAGTTTTTCCGACTATTTTAGAGTTTTTGACCTCTTTTCCACTTTTTTAAAATTTTCGACTCTTTTCGACTTTTATCGACTTTTCGACTTTTTCCGACTTTTCGACTTTTTCCGACTTTTTTCGACTTTCTTCGACTTTTTTTCGACTTATCGACTTTTTTCGACTTTTCAACTTTTTTCGACTTTTCGACTTTTTCGACTTTCCGATTTTTTGACTTTTCGACTTTTTTCGACTTTTATTTACAAAGTTATCGACTTTTTTGGAACAAAATAGTCGACTTCGACTTTTTTCGACAAAAAGTCGATTGTTCGATTATTCGAAAGTCGATTTATAGAACCCTAGTAGATATGTAGTTTTGTAAGTGATAGCAGTGGAAACCCTACTTAGGCCTAAAATATACAACTCTGCGTATTTTGACAGATGTTCATACTTTTTTTTTTGCCAGAAAGTCTATATCGAAAGTCAATTTTTTATTATTTACTTTAAACGCAAATAAATATAATCGTAAATATATATATAAAAAAAAGTGAAAAAACAACGACATTTTCAAGAGCTTAATATTGTGCCTAAAAAGTTATATAAATTGCAAATCCTAAAATGGGTGATAATCAGGAAAAGGCCATGCAACTGATGGCCGAGGCTGAGAAAAAGCTGACTCAACAAAAGGGTTTCTTCAGTGCACTATTTGGGTAATAAAGATCAAATAAATAATTGACAACAAAGAAATTGTTTGTGTGTGGAGAAATTTTAGTCATTTTAACACAAGAGGGAAATAATATAAAAAATATGGTGACTTTTTATTATTAAGAAACTTGACCTTATGCTAAAAAAGTGTTTAAGATTTTATGCACCCTACACTTACAAACTTAGCTTTGTTGTTATGTTGGCAATTAAAATTATTTGTGATATTATTTGTGTATATTCCATGGGTTATCGATGATTTATGCTGATTTGTTTTTTTGCTTTTTAGTGGTTCCAATAAATTGGAAGAAGCTATTGAACATTACCAGCGAGCTGGTAATATGTTTAAAATGTCAAAAAATTGGACTAAGGCAGGTGAATGTTTTTGTGAAGCTGCTAATTTACATGCCCGTAATGGTAGTCGTCATGATGCTGGAATTGGTTATGCCGACGCCTCGAATTGTTATAAAAAGGTATATTATGAATGACGTACATACATATATGATTTATATACATACATATATAAACATCTTTTTGCTTTTATTTCGCACTGTAACACAAATTTATTTTTTCCATTAAATTCCTCATCAATTAAATTAATTTCCATAAATTTTTCATAAGGTTGATGTTGAGAAAGCCGTCGAATGTTTATTAAAATCTATAGATATTTACACCGACATGGGACGCTTTACCATGGCCGCTAAATATCATCAAAGTATAGCGGAAATGTATGAAAGTGATCCCAATACTTTACCCAAAACCATACAACATTATGAACAAGCTGCAGATTATTTTAAGGGAGAAGAATCAGTTAGTTCAGCAAATAAATGTATGCTGAAAGTAGCACAATATGCCGCACAAATGGAAGATTATGAAAAAGCCATATCCATATATGAACAGGTATGAATAAAGGCAAGATTTTTTTCTTTCATGAAATATCTAATTCAATTCTAAACAAAAACCAGGTGGCTGCCACTTCCTTGGAAAGTTCTTTACTGAAGTACAGTGCCAAGGAATACTTCTTTAGGGCCGCCTTATGTCATTTAAGTATTGATTTATTAAATGCCCAACATGCTATAGAGAAATACTCCAATCAATACCCAGCATTCCAAGACTCCAGAGAATATAAATTGATTAAGGTAATTCATGTCATCAATAATTAAAAAAATTAAAATATTAATTATTTTATACTCTAGGTTCTTTGTGAACATTTGGAGGATCAAAATATTGATGGTTTCACCGAGGCTGTGAAAAACTATGATAGCATTTCACGTTTGGATCAATGGTATACTACCATTTTATTGCGTATCAAGAAAGCTGCTGATGAGGATCCTGATCTGCGATAAAAATCTTTATTTTTATTATATCTTTATTATACATGAACCATTTATCTTCAACGTTTATTTTGTTTGTTGTTTTTTTTTGTATACAAAAGTAAAAGAAAATTAGTAATTATTATATACCTTTATAATAGTAATAATAAAAATAATAAATAACTGGGATCAGCTGGTCTTGATTTAGTGTCCAATACTAGTGTCCAAAAGCACAAAAAATAAAGTTTTTTATTTTGGAATTTGAGAGTGTCACTAGAGTTTTTAAAAGTTTTAAAAAGAAAAGAATACAGTTTTGTCTATAACCCAGACTATAGTTTTCGTCTATAGTTCAGATTATAGTCCTGTCTTTAATCCAGGTTATAATCTTGTCTATATTCCAGACTATAGTCTTGTCTATAGTCGAGACTATTATCTTGTTTATATTCCAGACTATAGTCTTGTCTATAGTCCAGACTATATTCTTGTCTATAGTCCAGATTATAGTCTTGTCTATAATCCAGGTTATAGTCTTGTCTATAGTCCAGATTATAGTCCTGTCTATAATCCAGGTTATAATCTTGTCTATAGTCAAGACTATAGTCTTGTCTATAGTCCAGACTATAGTCTTGTCTATAGTCCAGACTACAGTCTTGTCTATAGTCCAGACTATAATCTTGTCTATAGTCCAGACTATAGTCTTGTCTATAGTCCAGACTATAGTCTTGTCTATAGTCCAGACTATAGTCTTGTCTATAGTCCAGACTATAGTCTTGTCTATAGTCCAAACTATAGTCTTGTCTATAGTCCAGATTATAGTCCTGTCTATAGTCCAGACTTTAGTCTTGTCTATAGTCCAGACTATAGTCCTGTCTATAGTCCAGATTAGAGTCCTGTCTATAATACAGGTTATAATCTTGTCTATAGTCTGGACTATAGTCTTGTCTATAGTCCAGACTATAATCTTGTTTATATTCTAGACTATAGTCCAGACTATAGTCTTGTCTATAATCCTGACTATAGTATTGTCTATAGTCCAGACTATGAGTCTTGTCTATAGTCCAGACTATAAGCATATCTGTAGTCTTGCCTTTTGACTAGATTGTATTATTATCTACAATACAGATTATAGGTCTTTAACAAATTAATGAATTTATTACATTTAAAAACAATAATACCAATCGATAACTTTATTTACACTCAAGTTTCTCATTTTCTGCCACACCCTGTGTTTCTGTTTTGACAAACAAAAACTCTCATCTCTAATTATTTTTCTTATTATGATTATGTCATTTTTGACATTCCATTTAAACAGCTAGTA